CTTTGGCTGCTGATTACACTTTGACACCCTGTGCCTTGACATTATGATGTTGGCTGAAGCCATACCAGATTTAACCGGAACTAAACAGCCCCGCTGTGGACGGCAGTTACACATTTCATTTGACTGAGTAGAGGAAGTCAGCATCTTACATGTTAGCAAAGACAACATGTGTGCAACTAGACAAAGCAAAATAAACTGTCTAATCAAACCGGAGTTCAAACTGGCCTAAAAGTAATGCTACATGAATATTCCAAGCTCTACTGACAGCATTTTTTAGAAATCTATATATTTATAAATATATATTATGTTTTTAAGAGAAGTCTCGTATTATTATCAAGGCATTTATTTGATCAAAATACTGTACAGTAAAAACAATAATCTTGTGAAATATTATTACAATTTAAAAATAACTAATTTCAAAATGCATTTTATTTAAAATATAATAATAATAATAATAATATACAGAATATTGCGAAAGTATTCATACCCCTTCATTTTTTCATGTTTTGTTATGTTGCTGCCTTATGTTAAACTGCTTTTAATAACTTTTTTCCCACATCAATCTAGATTCCATACATCATAATGACAAAGCAAAAATAGAATTGTCACAAAATAAAAAGAAAAAAAAACTGAAATAAGTACATTGCATAAATATTCATATCCTTGGCTGAAGCACCTTTACAGCCTCAAATATTTTTGGGTATGATGCGGCAAGCTTTGCTCATCAGCATTTGGCAATTATCTGCTATTCTTCTCCTCACCTCTTCAGCTCTCAAGCTCTGTCAGGTTGGGGGCAGATGCACATTTTCAGGTTTCTCCAGAAATATTTGATTGGGTTCAAGCTCAGGCTGTGGCTGGGCCACTCAAGGACATTCACAGAGTTGTCTATAAGCCACTCTTGCTGTGTGCTTAGTGTCATTGTCCTGTTGGAAGGACAGTCATTGTCCTTTTCTTCTACTCTGATGTGTCCCTCAGTCCCTGCCGCTGAAAAACAGCCTCACAGCATGAGGCTGCTACCAGCACACTTTACTTTTGGGATAGTACTCTGCAGGTAATGAGCAGTGCCTGGTTTGCTTCAAACATGATGCTTGCTTGGAATTGAGATTCATCAGACCAGAGAATTTTGTTTCTCACAGTCTGAGGGTCCTTTAGGTGCCTTTTTGTAAATTCCAAGTGTGTTTTCATGTGTCTTCACTGAGGAGAGGATAGATTCTTGCCACACCGCCATCAAGCCCAGATCTGTGGAGTGTTGCAGTGGTGTTTGTCCTTCTTTAGATTTCTCCTAATTCCACATATGATCATGAAGCTCAACCAGAGTGACCATCAGGTTCTTGGTCACCACACTTACCAAAGCCCTTCTCCATCAGTTGCTCAGTTTGGCCAGGAAGCCAGCTCTAGGAAGAGTCCTGGTTATTTCAAACTTCTTCCATTAAGGCTAACGGAGACTACATGCTTCTGTGAACCTTCAATGAAGCTTCGATTAACTCTTCCCCAGATGTGTGGCTTGATGCAATCCTGTTTCTAAGCTCTACAGGCAATTTTTTTTTACCTCAGGTCTTGATTTTCACATCGATATGCATTTTTAGCTGTTAGACATTTTATTAAGATGTCTTTCCAAATCATACCCATTCAATTGAAGTAGCCACAGGTTATCTTCACTCGAAGTGTAGTAACATCTACAAGCAAAATTAATGCTCCTGCAATTTCAACTGTTCCAGATAAGGGTTTTTATTTTTAACAAATTTCCAAAAATTTTTAAAAACCTTTTTTTTTTTTTTTTGCTTTGCCATTATGGTGTATGGAGCGTAAATTGATGGGGAAAGAAAAGTAATTTAAAGCAGGTTAACATAAAGCAGAAACATAACAAAACAGGAAAAAAATGAAGGGGTATGAATACTTTCGCAAGGCAGTGTATGTATGTGCAATTATATAAATTATGTTATTATATTAATATATTTTTAAATGCATTTCTGTCAATGGCAAAGCTGAACTTTCAGCAGCTATTACTACAGTCTCAAGTGTCACTTAATCATTCAGAAATTATTCTAATATGCTAATTTTGGTGCATTTTCTTCATATATTAAATGTTGAAAACAGTTGTGCTGCTTAATATTTTTTTGTAGAAACCATGATACATTTTTTCAGGTTCCTCTGATAAATAGAAAGTTCAAAAGAAAAGCATTTCTCTGAAAAAAAAAAATAAATGAAATAAATAAATAAATGTAGGCCGAATGGAGAAAAAACCTTGGGAGAAACCAGGCTCAGTCAGGGGGTCAGTTCTCCTCTGGCCAGACGAAACCAGCAGTTCAAATCCAGGCTGCAGCAAAGTCACATTGAGCAGAGGACTCAACTGGTTCCTGTGGTCTATGATGTGACTGATTCTGTTGGCAACTATTTTTGTTAGTCCATTTGTTAAAATGCTAACACTTGTACCAAAGACAACTTTAAACTCCTAAAACTTTTATATGCAGTTATAATGGTATTATTAGTAAAAAAAAATGCAAAATCAGACCAATTCTGGTGTTATTTGTGAAAATGCAAATTTGCTTAATATAGTGATATATAGATTTGATAGTCATTTTCATCAAGATATTGACACCCTGATGTCCTTTAGGTCAGAAAAAGCGTTATTTGAAAATCTCCAGAAATACAAAAGAGTTCTAGCCTCTTTGATCATTGGGCCAGATATAAGAAACACAGACATTCACTGACAAATTCGATCAAATTGAATACATTTTATGAATTTCTCTGCAACTTTACCTTCATAGCCAGGTGGAGCCTTTCTGCAAAGTAGGCAGGTTTGTTCCAAGCAGCCTTCACTAAAACATGAAAAAGACAGTAAGAACATTATTAATGCAAAAACAAACAAACAAACAAATAATTATTCTTGTTATTATTAATTATAAATAATAACTAAAAAGTGAATTTGAACAACATTCCATATTTTTTAGATATAAATTTAGTTAATCTTGGATATTTGTACCTAACCTAAGTTTTCATGTGTGAGAATGAAACTTCCATGCAGTTCACCCTCAAGATCTTTGGCAAAACCATCTTTGCTCAGTTGGCCATAATATTGTAAAACTGTAGATTTTAAACAACACTGTTAGTGCTAAACTACTCCAAAACGGCATATCGTAAAAATCAACTATCTCTGAAGAGGAATCTGATTCCTCCACTACCTTTGCACATCTGAAAAAAAAAAATAAATGAAATAAATAAATAAATGTAGGCCTAAGCATCAAAACAATGTCCTACCGTATTGCAACGCATCAAAGCAGTCAATCCAACACAGTCAAGAATAACTGCCGCCCCCCCTAATGTCGCCCATGCTATCACTGTTGATCAAGTTAATGTGCCCTTGTTGAATAAAAGTACTAATTAGAAAAAAATAAGAATAATGTAAAAATAAATAAATAAATAAAAGTCTTACTGACTCCAAACTTTTGAACAGTAGTGTGTATGTATGTATTGACAGTTTTACATTTTACACAGTTTTACACTGTGGGTCAAATTTACAGTAGTTGTATAATTTAGATTACTTCGATTGCATTCTTATATGTGCACACCTTTGTTCATTTTTTATTTATTGTAAACCTCAAATATTAAATAAAATTAAAATCACATCTACAATGTATTTGCACTGTAATTTCCTTACTTATTTTCTCTTCTAGGAGGCAAAAGAAAGTGTGCCTGTTGGTTAACTAACTGAAGTAGGGTATAAGATGCCATGGAGGTTAGGAGCTCGTCTTGCATGGTTAAACACATTTATTATACAAGAGCCAGTGACCCAGAGACATGGGCTCGATAAGAATGAAAGGCTAATTTGAAAGAAAACAAAATCTAGAGTTTGTGTTTACACAGAATGTGTTCATAAGAATGAGTTGGTCTATGAAGTTTTATCCTAGCAGTAATTGGACCTGGTGAAACATCATCTTCCACTTTCAAAGACTTGAATAAAATTTATTTTCCAAAGTACCATGGCATTACCAACTGTGACCATCACTGTATCATAATGAAAAGTTGCCAATTACAATTTTGGGATCATACAGAAAACAGGAGAACACAAAAGAATACTATCTATTCTGAAAAAGTCTTTGAGATACATAATAAGTATTTCAATAAGGAAAACACACATTTTAAATAATAAATTCAAAGTTTAAAAAATTAGATAATACCCGGTTTATATTGTAAAAAGTGAGACTGTTCAGCTTTTATCAGATGTTACCAAACGAAACATACTTAACTGGCAATACATTTCTGCAAAGTACTTACCTGGCCCATGTTCGCAAATCCGTACTTTCCTGCAATAAGATCAGCAGCATCAGGGCCTCCAGTTATTTTAACCGCCCAGCGGTTTGTGTAGATTTTTGTCTGGACATATTGTAGTCCAATCCCAAGTAAAAATGCATATGGAAAAAGTGCTGTAGGAGACATCTTCAGATGGTTATGCTCTCTGCTTCATGCAGAGATATTGGTCTGATGAAGCTCTTCACTGAAAAGGTCTCATTAAAAGGTGGCCTGACATTGTCTACAACAGACTGGACTGTCAAATGATTGTAAAAAAAAAAAAAAAGTTCCTAAAGGACCTAGTTTGACTGTGTGAGCGCTACTCCACTGTGATGGCTCTGCTGCATCTGTTGCCTGTGGCACATCTTCTCCAATTACAGTCCTATCAGTTTCTACAGGTGCACTGTGTGCTTGTACAGCAAACAAGAAACACTGGGGACACTGGATAATAGGCCTAATGTCCATTCATGACATTATTATATTAAACTGCATTGGTTAGATCATAATCAATGTGCTTTTTAAAAATTAGTTGCTTGCCGCATACTTATTTGTATTTTTTTTTTCTTAATTGTTTTTGATTCTTTCTTTTATGATACTTGGTTTTACATTTTTTTTATTGATGTCTTCATTGTGTATGAACTATTTGTCAACTTCAGTATTATTAACATATGGCGAGAGTAAAATTGTCGATAGATGACTGAAAGCCTGAGTTAAAACATGACGACGGAAACGCTGATCATAAGAATAACAAGTTGGTAAGCCTTAGAATGTCAGGGTCGAGATTTATTTTGCAATATTGACCAGATTACATATTTCATTGGCCATAGTGTAAGTAAATAATCTTTACCTTTGCATCACTCGTAGCGACACCATCATCAATGTGATGGTCTTTGCTCCTGGTAGCCTAAAGTTATTAGACACAGTAATATGTCATTATCTATGCAATGCACATAGCACACAATTTTTTTGCTCTGTAACAAAATTGTCACTGAACTATGTTCACATAACTGATTCTTATGGTGTAACATAAACAGTGTCATTTTTGTACCTTGCAAAGGGCGAGCAGGGTAGTCTCGAGATCTCCTTTAACGTCACTTTTAATATTTTCCTCCAGCAGCTCTCTGTTGACTGTACAACAGAAAAAGATTAGCAGCTACCTCTGCTTTTAGAATGAACATGTACAGTGTGTATGTAAATCTTTCTAGTTACCTTCTTTGTAAGTATTCTTCAATGCTGTAATCTCCTTGTTTGATCTGGTCCTCAAAATTTCATTTAGGACGGCCTCATTTGTCCCAAGTTTCTGATTATCAATGACATTCTAGTATTATCAAGTAGATTTAAGCAACATATTGCAATAAGAACAGTCAGAAGTTGTACCTTCATGGCTCTTTTCATCTCAAAAGCATCATACTCAGTAGGAGTCATCAGCAAGGCCAGGACCACTTCCTCTAAATCTGACTTCAGAGCCTTTTTCAGTGCATCTGCCAGAGGATGAGGATTAATAATAAAACAATGGCTATTAGTGCAAAATAACACAAAATAATATTATAAACAGGCCATGCTGTTTAAAAGAAAAAAAACCATCTCATGTGTGTTTCTTAAACTTGGACCTACAGATATTGTACATGACTTGGCTCAGTCGTCTATGTTGCTTCATATGTCAAGTTCAAGGATTGATAAAACAAACAAACAAACAAACAAACAAACAAAAAAGTTTGGTACAGTAAAAACTTCAAATAGCATCAAAACCTTGGACTGTTTATCAACCTGTGTATCAATTTTACACACAACCATTTAAATGACCAAGAAAGCCTGACCCGAAATGTGTAGATGGCACAATATGACTTGGCTCATTCATCTGTATTGTTCCATATTGTTAAGTTCAAGGGTCCATAGAAAAGGACTGTTAAAGTGAAAAATGTTCAGATTTTAATCTTTCATTATTTTTAGTGCACTTGAAATTTTTTTAATTATGTTATATTTAACGATTATGAAATATCACCTTAAATGTTATTTAAGATGGAATAGAAAGCTTCAGTAAGTAACACATGAATAAGTAACTGGATTCAAATTAATACAGAATACTTTAAAAAGATGAGAAAATGCTTACTTTTCCTGTACTCTGCTGATAAGCCACTTTAATCTGTTGTCTTTGTGCATTGCTCCTCTTTGCAATCACCTCCACAATAGTGGCTTCATCCACACCTTAATGACAGGAAAACAGGTCCAAATCACATCGGTTTTCACATGAGCAGCTGTTTACAGAGTAATACTGCTGGATCTTGGTATTAATGGGCAACTGCACATGAGTGCACTTGAATCCTTGTGCATAGTCACTGAGAAATTAGGACAAACATAATAGAAGCATTATAATACAAGTCCCAACAGAGCTATATATTGGGCTATGATGTATGACGTATATATTCCTGCTATGACGTAACTGTTGGGGTGTGTCCTTTAAACATGCAACAACACAAAAAAATAATTTGCAAAATTGTTTTTAACTTCTACTTGAGTTTCAACACCAGGAACATGAAGGCATGTGTAGTGAAGTTCAAAAAAAGACTCGCTTAAAGAGTTCTGCGTAATGAAAATGTGCGCATTGAATTAATTCAGTCGTGTTCAAATGATCACTAAACGTTTGTCATGACATCTCTCTGCTTGCATGATAAATATATTTTTAGAAATTAGTAATTATTATTTTAGATAACTATGAAAAAAAGGTAGTCATAACGGTCTTATCAAGTAACTACGACGTTCCACCTGGTTTTATCCGAATGCAGATACGACGGCAAAGGAGAAGTGCTCACTAACACAGATTTAGACAGATTTGTGAACAATATTTGAGAGAAATAGGCCTTTTGTGTACATAGAAAAAGTCTTAGATCTTTGAGTTCAGCTCATGAAAAATGGGGGCAAAAACAAAAGTATTGCGTTTATAATTTTGTTCAGTATAATTGTTGAATTAGGCTATGAAATAATAAGCGTTTATTGATAAGAATTATTTCATGTCTTTTCATTTACAGTAGCATGAACCACGAGTAGTCGAGTAACTCGAGTATTTTTAAATAAGAAATTGACTAGCAGAAATCAGTAGTCGTGCAACCCCTAAAGTACATACAGTATAAGTAATGCTAAGTTTCTTTTGCTAATGCTAAGGTGTGGTTGAGATAGTCACTCCCTACAGGAGACCCACCTAAAGTTCATCTTTTTGAATGGCCATTATGAAGGCAATGTATTTACTGACCTGGTCATTATTAACTTGCTGGAAAAAATTCTGGAAAAAAGCCATCTTGTGAGCTTTGAAGACACTATAAAGAACAACGCAAATGAAGAAGTTATTGCAAACATTGTGCAGATTAATCTACTGCAAATTGTCATATCAGTTCCAATACCATCAATCACTTCATTATGAGTATAGCATCATGAATTGTTCCCAATATTAAATAGGGCAAGCTACAGACAAGGACATGCAGTGAAATGCATTTACAAATATAACTCACCTGTTCCTCTGTGAAATCTCTGTAAGAGCTGATCTGAAGTAGGTAATTTCGGGAACAGTACCTGTCTTTTTATTCCTTATACACACCCACTGAAAAAAACGTTGGGCTGGACCCGGTTGTTATGCTTGTACCTGTCTGTAGGACTTGTGATAATCTGTCATTTAATGTATTTGCTGCCCTCACCCCCAGTCAGGGGCGGACTGGCCATCTGGACTTTCTGGAGAAGTGCTCTTATATGATGACCTGCTCTTATCATCTGATCGTGGTTGTATCTCTCTATTAGCGCTGCATTTGACACTATTGACCACAACATTCTTTTGAAAAGACTAGAAAACTTTGTTGGTATTAATGGAAGTGCATTAGCATGGTTCAAATCGTACTTATCTGACCGCCATCAATTCAGCCCAGATGGTGGATCAGCACCTAGAGATGACCTCACCAGCCATGAATGTCAGCGGAGACCAGGACAACTAGATGAGCCCCAGAGACAGATCCCCAGTAAAGACCTTGTCTCCTAGACGGCCACCTGGACAAGACCACAGGAACCAGTTGAGTCCTCTGCTCAATGTGACTTGCCTGGATTTGAACTGTTGGTTTCGTCTGGCCAGAGGAGAACTGGCCCCCCAACTGAGCCCGGTTTCTCCCAAGGTTTTTTCTCCATTCTGTCACCGATGGAGTTTTGGTACCTTGCCGCTGTCGCTTCTGGCTTGCTTAGTAGGGGACACTTCATTTCCAGCGATATCGTCGACTTGATTGCACAGATACTATTTAATCTGAACTGAGCTGGATGATGACATCACTGAATTCAATGATGAACTGCCTTTAACTGAAAATTTAGTGTTTACCATTTTTTGCATTAATGACACACTATTTTCCTAATTAATGCTGTACAGTTGCTTTGACACAATCTGTATTGTTAAAAGCGCTATATAAATAAAGGTGAAAAAATAAGTCCAGAACGGCCGTTGTCCGACATTAAGTGACGTTGACGGCCAAAAAAGGGGGCGCTAATGCAATCTTTTTTTGCTTGTAATAAACTGAAACGGATCCGAAGGAGAGTGGGCTCGTGATGACAAGCAAAATACATAAAGACAAAGGCGGCTGGGAGAAGCTAAAAGAAAAAAAGTGAAGTCCTTAGAGACCGACGCTACAAAATATAAAAAAATAAAAAATAAATAAAAAAATAAATAAAATAAATAACAGAGATGTTTGGCAATAGTAGCCCTAATCTTGAGCCTGATGAGGGAGAGACGGCAGCAGTTGCTCCTGAGCTCCTGAGGTTCTGGTGAGTCGCCTGTGGACAGTTACATCAGGATACCTTTGCCCGCCTCTCTCACTATAGAGCATGTAGCCTATGGACAGCACTATAGTAAAATCCCAGGACATCCCTAGTCCTAACGTTCACTGCTATTTATCACTCCGCATTGTCTGACGTGAATATTCCATTCAATAACGAAACAGCAGCGATTCTACAACGGGTTTGACAACTACTGAGTTAGAAAATAGAGTAAATGAAGTAGCCTAAGGTGATTGCTCCGATAAACATGTAACATGAGAATGAGCAAGTTTGCAAATAATTTGTGCACACATGGTCACTCTCACTCAGCTTGGCTGCAGCGTGACACACACACACACACACACACACACAGAGAGAGAGAGAGAGAGAGAGGGACATATGAATACTCAAATTGTAGAATAGATCTGTTGTTTCAGGTTTCTAGATTCTAGGTTAATGTTTATCATTAGGCTAAATGTCATGTACATTTTTGCGTTCTGCTCTTTTTATGTAGATAAATTTTTTTTGTATTTTAGTTCATACTAATACAATAATACATTTATTTCAATCACCATGGGTTTTGTGATGTTATTTGCCATAAATGCGATACATTGACTGCTGTAATATTGTAAGATAGTAGCGGCTGTTTGTAGTTGTGGTGGGGCCTATTTGGGGGAAAATCCTGGGCCGTTTTTTACTCCCAGTCCATCCCTGCCCCCAGTTGTAGTCAAAACAAAACTTGCATTGAAACTTACTAACAATTTAGTTTAGGAACCAGTTCTCACTAATTGCTTATTAGCATGCATCTTGACTGTTTTTAGTACTTAATAAGCACATATTAATGCCTTATTCTGCATGACCATATTTTAGATCCCTTAATCCTTCATCATTAACTTAACTTTACCTAAACTACCTTACTAACTATTAATAAGCAGCAAATTAGGAGTTTATTGAGGCAAGTGGCCTAGTTAATAGTTAGTTAATAGTGACAATTGGTCCCCAAACTAAAGTGTGACCAAATTTACATATGAGATTATATTGTTCACTAGAAATTGCATTAGATGCAGATGCTTTAAACTACAGTTTTAAAGAGTTTATTAGTTGTGGAATTTGTCTCTTTGATTATGAGAACAGACACACAGATAAGGTCAAGCCAGTGCTCACAGTTCTCACATACTGTCACATGCTAAAGAAACAAATATGTTCATCAAAATGTAAAATATTGCCACAATTTACAAAGCAATTTATTACAATAATACTAATATATAGTTGCCATGTAATTGTAACACTTGAATTACCACTAAGACAGTATGCCAAGTTGTAGTTAGGAATATTATACTGACGATAACATTCACAGAGTGCATATTTAAATTAAACAGTTTTTATAAGCCAACTAAGGGGGATTGAGTTGTGCCAACACGTGTAGTTAATATAACCATGTAATGAATCTGCAGATGTTTTTCACATAATTCAGACATGTAAGAGATGATTACTGAGTGCCACAGAGAGTCAGCAGAATCTTCTCATAATCTCCACTCGTTTCCTGCTGTAAAACCAGAAAAGGGGTAAATGTAGAGGAGAACTTGACTTGAATTCGACTGGATCATGAAAAGTGACCATTTCATTCTATAATGGATGTGAAGTAAATGGGCTAATTTTTCATTTCATGTTAGCATCAAACTAGTTGTTTAGAGCTTCTCAAATGATGGCGACTCACCAGAATGGCCTCCTGAAGGGGCTCAAAGGTCCGAGTCGGTAAAATGATCCGAACTTCCCATCACTAGTATATGTTGGTTTTCTTCTTCTTCTTCTTCAGCTCTGGGAGTCTATGGCAGCCAATACAGTAGAACCGCTTGTGGGAAAATTATGAAACTTGGCACACAGATAGAAGACAGTCTTTAACTCAAACTCTCCAGCTCCACCAATAGGCCAAAATTGCACTCATATTTCTGCTAATAACTTTTGAATTCCTTCTCATGGCGAATGCATACCAAGATTTAAATTTCTACGTGTCAAGATTTTTCGCAAATTGTGAATTTTTCTAAATAACTACTTTTTCAAACTCGTTATCAAAAGCTTTTTGATATACCAAACCATTTTCATAAAACGCGCTAATGAATTTGATTAAGTTTGTGCAAAAAAGGGCATGAGGCTATATCTCAGCAATGTTTTAGCGGATTCTGACCAAACTTGGTATGTGTTATAACAAGCATGACCTGAGGGCACATAAGTAGTTTCGGCACAGCACCCCCTACTGGTCAAAATATATAAAATTTCTGCTTATAACTTCTGACCAGTTTGGCCAAAAATCATAAGATTGGTCTTGTTCGATTCAAAACGGCATGCAGAATCGAACAGTATCTTTAGCACGTCTTTAACAGGGGTCTCCAACCCTGCTCCTGAAGAGCTACCATACTGCAGAGTTCAGCTTAAACCCTAATCCAACACACCTGGACCAGCTAATCAATGTGTTCAGGGCTACTTAATTACAGACAGTTGTGTTAAAGCAGGGTTGGAATTTAAGTCTGCAGGAAGGTAGCTCTTCAGGAGCAGGACTGGAGAACCCTGGTCTTTACTGAGTAACTAAAAAAAGCTCCTTAGCTCTTCATTTTACTTCTTTTGTGCTTGTAGCTATATTTAGTAGTTGTAGCCATTGCTGCATGAATGATTTCTCAACTATCACTGCAGTACAATGTGTTGGTGTGGTTGGGCATTGCCTACGCTGGGCGTAGTTGTGCCTGGTCATAGTTTTAGTTGGTGTAATAGGTGTAAATATTTATCGGAAAGCTGAACATAGCTGGACGTTAAGCTGGACATAGCTAAGCCCAGCATAGGGCTTACATCTAACTTTTTTACATCTAGCTAGTGCAACCAGACCTAGATCCTCATGTCCATCCTCTTTGGACTGGGCATTACACTAACTGGACCTTGCTGTCTTGAGTCTTAGCTCAGAGGCAAATCTATCAGGACTTCATCAGCTATTTAGCTTCATCAGCTAAATACTGGGGTGCCTCAGGGTTTAGTGCTTGGCCCCCTTTTTTTCAATATGCACCTTCATCTCACTGGACCAAATATAAAGCCACAGCTTCTACTATCACTGCTAAATTTAGTCCCTGCCTGAAGACCCCGCAGCTTTTATCTAACCTTCCACATGGAATAAAGGTTAAGCTAGCAATAACAATAACAAAAATAAAAACTACTAAAACCGTTGTAAAAATGCCACAACATTTCAGAACAGTAGTGCTGAAGCACAACTGATGTAAAGCAACAAATCTGTAAGTAGGCTACTTTTAACTTGCAATTTTCCGTTTCAATCACAGATAGCAGTAGTGCACTTTTAAATAAAATAAATGGCTATATTTTGTCTAAAATGTTAGTTACTCAATATTAACTTTCATGTATAAATGTTGTATAAAAGCAATATCACACTTGTAACCATATTGTTGCACTTTTTCAAACAACACTGACTAATCCACCCTTTTCTTCCCCGTAGTGGGAGTAAAATTGTATGGGTCTAGCTTCCAGTCTCATCCGCGTCCAGCTATTTTTAGCTGTACAAAACAGCTTGTTTGCTGCTTGATATTGAAAATTGGTGTGTCATATCATATTATTTTAATGTATTATCTTAATTATGAACACACTGGTTTGTAGTGCAAACAGTTTTACCATTTACTGCTTGTTTTTATTATTCTCGTTATTTCCCTATAGCGGCTAATGAACCGGGAGTCTCACCCATAGGCTTACTTCCGCATTGAAGAATAAGGTGGATAGCTTCTACAGAACCATACATATACAGTCCATGGAGAAAATGAATGGGATACTTCCAGATGCCTACCAACCAATCCAAATTCAAAACAGGTTACTGGAAAATGATATAGACCCAGACAAATCAGCTTATTTAAACACAATAATTAATAACATGAGTTGTGTGTTGTTTAGTTCAGTTGTTACGGTGTTGGGGTAGAATCTGCCACAGTACCTTTGCATCACTCTTTGCAAGCCCATCATCAATATTATGGTCTTCACTCCTGGTAGCCTGTTATAGGATATATATATTCGATATATATATTCAGTACACATAAATAATTCAGTTTTCTTATGGTGTAACATACGTATACTAAACAGCATCATTTTTGTACCTTGCAAAGGGCAAGCAGGGTATTCTCAAGATCTCCACTAACTTCACCTTTAATTTGTTCGTCCAGCAGCTGTCCATAGTCTTTACAACAAAAAGAGGTTAGCAGCTACACACACATTTGCATTCATGAAGTACATGTATATATTTGGATCTGTGTTGTTACCTTCTTTGAAAGTATTTTTCATTGCTGTGATCTCCTTGTTTGATCTGGTCCCTAGAATTTCACTTAAGACAGCCTCTTTTGTCCCAAGACCCTAATTATAAATTAATTTTTAGTGTTGAAATCTTTAAATAAAACATTGGATGGTTGTGTAAACTGTCTAACATTTTTAAATATTTAAATATTAACTGTCAAGGTTTAAAACAACAACAACAACACACACACACAACATTACACTACATAACACAAAACAAACCTGTGTGATTTATATGCGTTTTGAAAAGTGGGGACATGGGGTAATGTCCTGAAAAGTCATCTTCTCCTTGTAATACCTATGTCATACCCTTGTCATTATACAAATGTATGTCCTCATTTGTCACAAAAACGCGCGCACACACACAATAAAAACATAGTACAATACACTAGTACACACACACAAACACAAAAGTTGAGCAGCTGCCAGATATTTTGATTTATTCTTTAATGCATTAGAACAAAACCAAATGTGTGACCTTTTGACTTAAGAGTGCCACCTGCTGGTAAAATGTTGTAAATGTAGGCTACATCTGCTCATGACCTTTTGAAAGAATTGGCACAAAAATAGTTCAGTCATACTGTAGTTCATAAACTATTACAATCATCATTTTTTAATTCCTTGGACCATGTTTAATGCAGTGTACATGATGTCACTGATGTTCTTGACTTCCTAATTTCTGCTTGCAGCTCTATTTTGTGACTATTTCTGTTCATCTATCTTGAAAATCTGAGTCAAAATTCATATCTCAATTACAAATAACTGAGAATTATGAATAGACAACTTCTGAACATCCTCTATCTATTCCTCCAATCTCATATTTACATGCCAGACCATCTTTACACATTTAAATAGGCCAAAGACAAACATTGTTGGATGTGAAAATGCTTACTTTTCCTGTACTCTGCTGATAAGCTTCTTTGATCTGTTGTCTTTGTGCATTGCTTCTCTTTGCTATCACCTCCACAATAGTGGCTTCATCCACACCTTCATGAGAGGAAAACAGACGAAAGTGAGAGGCTATTATGATCAAACTACAGCGTAATTCTGGTGGGTTAAAATGAGCCGCTGCATCATGCACATAATTCAAGGTGCATAAGAAGTACAACTATAACTGTGTATTGGGGGATATGTATTTAATTTAACGCTGATTAATGAGACATGGAACAAAACATTTTGCTTGTCTCTTTTTTTTAAAGCAACATTTAAATGAATCGGACACGGTCACTAGAATGTTCTTAAAACAAATTTGCAATCACGTTTTTTTTTTTTTTGTGTATCTGATGGTGTTGATACACACCAAGTAAAATATATTACACAATGGAAAGAACACATGTACAAAATATATATGTATGATACATTTGAAAATATATATAAATATATGAAAATACTAAATAATTACTTAGTACACAGATATTTATTTTGTCATGTGGCCAGTTTTGTTCTAGTGCTCATGAATTAGTGTCATTAAGCCTGTGCTTTTCAGCTATGACATAATGTAGTTCTAGGAATGCATTCTAGGAAAGTTTTCCAGGTATTGCAGGGGTGTGTCCTACTAAACATGACAACACTTGAATAAACACATAACTTATATCTAGTTGAAATGAACAGTCTTTTTCATACTTTGTCAAAACACATTCAAAAAAGCAGCATCCCTACAGTATTTCGAACATTGGTATCAGGAGCATGAGAGCATTTTACATCTTTAACGTCGCATTAATTTTGATTTCTACACTGGTTAGGATGTTTCCTTCAACCTAGCACAACACTGCTATGCGCAATTCAAAATGAGTAAAACACCTGTATTTACAGCAAAGTATTTACCTTTGGTCTCAATAGCTTTCTTCAATTTTGCAGCATCATTCTGGCCATTAAAGTTTGGATCAGGCTTTACTGTTCCAAAGTATGCCGTCTCCACTTGACCACCTTTAAAACCCTGTGATGAAACATATTACAACACCCACTGAACTGAATGTCAAACCATGGACTAATTACTAATATAAGTAGTAATGTTGAGGTGTACTTCAATATATTCAAATCATTGGTCATATATATTCTATACTTACCTTGCTGCTGTCATCGTTACTAATTTTGTTGATAAACTTCTTGAAGAATGCCATCCTTTAAAACTTTTGAAAAAGCTATGACAAGTAACAAACAAACAAACAAATACAATGCTATGTTGTGCTTATGAAACATCATTACTAATGTTTGTAAGTCATTGATTCAGTGTCAAATGTTTTCAAAGAGCTTTGTTAAAATATGCTACTGATGACAACAGTAAAACACCTTTACTATGATATCTCACCTGTTCCCCTGTCTGTGAGAGCTGCTCTGAAATGGGTAATTTCGGAAACATAACCAGGCCTTTTATTCTTTAGGCACATGCAAAGCAAAAAAAAAAAACACTTGGCTGGGTGGAGGGGTTGGACCAGGTTGTGCTGGTTGTACCTGTCTTTAGTCATTTAATGTGTTTGCTGCACTCAACTCAAACTGTAGGATTATTGGTTTGTGCGAGATAAACTGTCATACAATATGAAGCCTAAACAAAAATCATACACATGAAATGACATGTTCACTAGATTTTGCACAAAACTGTGCACATGCTTCTACTTAGTTTCATATAATTCTATTCTATTCTATTCTATTCTATTCTATCCATGCACAGTTAGTTCATCCAAAATTGGAAATTCTATCATCATTTACTCATTCATTGTTTTTCCCAAAACTCATGACTTTCTGCTGTTAAAGGCAAAAGGAAGAGAATGCAGATGTATGTCCTTTTGTGTTCCACAGAAGAAAGAAAATAACCGGAATTACATAAGGGCGAGGAAATGACATTTTTGGGTGAACTGTCCTTCCATGGTCAAGCTACAATTCCTGACTAGAGTTTTCTCACACTACAGATGTTGAGTCAAAGCTGTGAGGGCAATTTTAGGTGACAGGACAAACTCTAAAACATGAGGTTTGAAAAGGTAATGTTGTATAACTGGGTTCTGGGTTTGTGTCATGCTTTTGTACAAAGGATACATGCAGAAATTTTCAGAACCAGTTTGGGTGCTTGTTGAGTGATTCATGTATCATTGTGAGCATTAGTAATCCAATCTTCACAATGCTCAACTGTCACTAAAGTACGGAAATGACTAAAAAACTTTATATACTAGATTTTGGATTTATTATAAAACACGAAATAAAATAGACAACAAATATACTGTAACTGTAGTTCAATAATAAAGCAGTTATATGTGGTGGTATAATATACATGCATTAAACACATAACACATACAGTAGGCCCAAAGAGAGTTTAGACACTTCAGACACAATTAAAAATACATCTCACTGCATCAACAAAATACCAAAGCAAGCATTCAATTTAAAAGAAAAAAAATCAGAGAGAACACTTTCCAAGCAAAATGTTTCACAATTTTTCTTTAAATGATAAAACAACCTATATACTGTTTAAAATGAAGACAACGAGTATGTACACTCTTTTTTGTATGTCCAGTGTTAGTGAAAGATGTTGATAGGTAAGGTTGTTTGATGTGACTGAGTGTCCAAATTCATTTTGGGGCCACTGTATGTATATGATATATGTGACCCTGGACCACAAAACCAGTCATAAGGGTAAATTTTTTGAAATTGAGATTTATAAATCATCTGAAAGCTGAATAAATAAGCTTTCCATTGATGTATGGTTTGTTAGGATAGGACAATATTCGGCAGAGATACAACTATTTGAAAATCTGGAATCTGAGGGTGCAAAAAAAATCAGAATATTGAGAAAATCGCCTTTAAAGTTGTCCAAATGAAGTTCTTAGCAATGCATATTACTAATGATAATACATTTTTGATATATTTACGGTAGGAAATTTACAAAATATCTTCATGGAACATGATCTTTACTTAATATCCTAATGATTTTTGGCATAAAAGAAAAATCGATAATTTTGACCCATACTATGTTTTTTTTGGCAATTGCTACAAATATACCTGGTGCTACTTATGACTGGTTTTGTGGTCCAGTGTCACATATGCAATTTACTGTAAAGGAATGTATGATAATTATTATGATATCTCCAAATTTCTTTAAATATTGATTTATCTAATAAAACAAACCAATGTTTACATTAATTATAGAGTGTGTAGACCGACAGAGCACACAATAATGACTAGATCACATTACTGCCTTCTAGGCGGTGGCCCTTGACCCCTGCCTGCCCCTGGTTGGCCAGGTAGAAGTTCAGGTCCCCTGGGGCCTGGCGCTCGAGTCACAGGCCCCCGGGCGTTAGGATTAGCTGACGTGAGTCACACGTCTTTCTGCAGATGCACGCCACCTCCATCTGTGCCTGGTTTGACTTTTGGCGATTTTCCACCCTGGTCATGTTTTTTGAGTTCTTATAGGCCTCTGACACAGAATTCAGGTAGTAAATGGCCAGACTGTAAGAAATACAAAACAAAAATGTAAGAGATTTTGCTTGTATTATGTGATTAAGAAAAAAAATCAATGATTCCCTTACACCATGAGAAGCTGGTATAATACGTCCAGGGTTTGCTACATTGCTAAAGAGCGTCCCCATGAACAGGGGCGCCGCTAGCAATTTTGGGCCCTATGAAAGAATATGAGGTTGGGCCCACTAACGCACCAAACATACACTATATTGCCAAAAGTATTGGGACACCCCCTTCTAATGAACAGGTTTGACTACTTTAGTAATTTCCATGAGTACAAATCTTAAAGGGGTCATATGATGCTATTTTAAAGATCATTATTTTG